CCTGTTAGTGTATCCATCCATCCATCCATCCATCCATCCACCCACCCATCCACCCATCCATCCAACAGCAGGCAGTAACGGAGTGCCTCAGGAGTGGCAGGGCTGGGTGGGTGGGGAATATTCAAACGAAAGAGACAGGAGAGCCTTGATCAAACTTAAGTTGCGTTGGTGGTATAGTGGTGAGCATAGCTGCCTTCCAAACTGTAACACAGGATGATGGCTTAGGGGCCGTGGATAAAAGCTCAATGATTGCCTAGCTGCCAAGAAGCAGCAGCAGATTTCCAGGAAGGGGGCTGAGCAGAGGCTTTGGGATGGAGTGGCACCTGGGCTGGGCCTAGAAGGGTAACAAAGATTCCCGCGGGCAGAGGGAAGGGGGAAGGGCATTCTGACTGAGGTGGCAAAGTGAGCCAGGCTGAGCAGCAGGATGGGGCCACGTCACAGAGGGCCCTGCACTTGGGCTGCATTCTGGGAGCAGGAGGAGCCACGGAGGGTCTTGGAGGAGGGAGTCAGGATCAGCATGTGCCGGACGAGCCCAAGCTGCAGAGCCGGGGTGGGCAGGGAGACTCCTCAGAAGGCGAGGGGGTGACAGAGGTCTGAGTCAGGGGCAGTAAAGGGATGGGTGCCAGAGATAAGAGACAAAACTGACTCGATTCAGCACAGGGTGACTGTGCGCCTAAACCAGCATGACAGCGGGGACAGCCCTCTCTGAGGCTGGGCGGCAGGAGTGTGGGAGAAAAGGTGTGTCTGCTTGGGGATGGCTGCATGGAGGTGCCTGGGCACACCCAGGAGCCACACCCCATAGGTAAATGACAGTCCGGAGTTCAGGAAGAGGGCTTCCCAGCTGGCAGCCTTCTCTGTCCTCACCTTCTCTGTGCTCCAGTCCCGTCCTCATCTCTGCTGGTGGCACCCGGGGGGAGGGGAGGAAGTCCCCTTGGGCATGCTGTGCCCAGGTGAGCAGACATGACAGCCAGGCTCTCCTCTCTGGGCTGGGGCTCCCGCTCCTTGGAGATCTAGAATCCACAGAGCCAGCATGGACCCCCACCTCCCGAGATCCACACTTTCAAACACAATCACCGGATCCCAATGCAGGTTCACAGGTTCCACCCGCAGACTCTCTGCTTTGATAGGTCGGGTGGGGCTCAGGAAGTGAATGTTTTAAGATGCAACCAAGACTGTGACACCGGAAACAGTCTGCTGACCTGCTCGGAAAGCCCTGCTCCCAGCAGATGCTCGGTCAGACTCTCCGCAGCTGCAGCCCCTGGCTCTGCTGAGAAAGTAGAGGGCGAGTGGGGGTGTCGACAGGGAGGGGAGGTTGCTGGCACCTTGAGGTGGGTAATACCAACATCACATCTGAGTGCTCACTACTACGGCCGGGTGCTGCTGTGAGGCCTCCAAGTCAGTATTTGAAACAACTTTCCCCATTTTGCAGTTGAGGCGATGGAAGCTTAAAGTCAGGTCATCCAGCAGGTGGTGGTGTGTACTCCATACCTGTCCCCTAAGCACAGGGTGTGTTGGCAAGCTACGCCCTTCCCTCTGGCCTCAGTCTCCCCCTCTTTAAAATGCAGAGAACTTTCCCCACCTGCTTCCAGGAGACTCTGGGGTCTTAATGATGATGATCGTAAGACCGCTGGAAAGCCAGCAGCGTTTTCCCCAAGCAGCACCCGTGCCACCTCCGGGACCCTTCAGCCAGTCTGGATGCTGCCTGCAGGGCACATCTGGACCTCTGCCATCACTGGATGGAAAGGGCAAAGGGCGTTCCTTCTGCCCTGTGCTGAGTGCCGCAGACAAAGGTCTCACTATGCAAGTCTCAATAGAAGGCTCTGTTTGGCGGCAATAATATTATTTTCTGCTGCTGACGCGTAACCTCCATTTTTAAACTGGGAATATTCGGCTGCATTCTCCTCTGCGGGCCGTTCCATGTCAGAGAGAAATGACACCCCCAGACCCTCTAGCCTGGGAAACACATGGAAGGGGGCAGGTGACATGGCTTGGAGAAAGCCAGAAAGATGGGAGGAAGAGGTGCAGGCTTCATTGTACCAAACTGCTTACTTCAATGGCTTGTCTCTGCAAGTTTGCATTGAATCTCTAAGCATTTCTTTCTGGCCTCGGTAGTGATTAAAGAAGCTCCGAGCTCACCAAAGGAGCAGATCGTGGATACCGATGAAGCCACCTTAAGCTAGTTCTGTGCAAGGCTCCTTCTCTGGAAAGCATGCCCGGGCCATGCAGTCGCTTGAAGCAATGCAGAAAGTATGACCAGCCAGCAGGAAAACATCCCGGTTTCCTCATCGGCATGATTACCGCTTATCTCCTGAGGGAAGGACGGGCAGGCCAGTGGAAATTCTATGGAGGTCAATAACCACGGTGGTTATCTGTAAGCGTAGCTAACACTTTTCTCTGGATGTAAAAGCAGTGGAGTTTGGGGTGGGACAACTGACCACATCCTTGCCACTTCTGATGACTTTTATTCTTTGGCGTTTGCTCACTAAATCCCCCTGCTCTTTAATGCCTCCCACACCTGCATTAAAATGTGATCACATTCTGCACAACTGAGCAGGGCAGGCAGTCTGACTGCTCATTGCTCCTTCATTCCAATCTGCCATTAGGCATCTGCTGACTATTCCGGGTCCCTGGGCCAGGTGCTAGGCTCATGAGGATGTCCCTTGTCCCTGCACAGAAGCAACCACCTGAAATGAAGCAAGAGAAGCCCACAGCCACTGAGAAAGAAGGCCCAAGAGAGAAGGCAGGGCGTTGGCAAGAAGGGATATGCCTACCTGGTGAAGGTGGCAGAAAAGGGAAGGCACAAAAGGGACAAGAAGCAGGAGAGAGGCCAAGAATGGGCCCAGAGAGAGGAGTGCAGAAGCACATTCAGGAATGACTGATGGGGTCTTTCAAGGATGTCTGAGAAAAAAACAGAATTTTCTGTATCTATTGAACAAAATGCATGTTATTAGAGGCAAACTGTCTCTGAGCTCCAAGGCAGGAGCCGGAAAGAACCCCAGGGCCATCTAGTGCACACCCTTCACTGTGCCGATGGGCAGCTAAAGCCCAGAGAACTGAGGCGACATGCCAAGGTCACACAGCAAGTTAGTGTTAGAGAGACCAGAACTGGGGACACTTCCGCCACGGAGGGCTCCGGCCCAGCAATTCCTCCAGGGGCCGGCGTCACTGGCCACTCCCTCAGGAAGGACTTATTAACACTTGGTGACCAATGCTGGGACCTACAGAGACCCCATATGAATCCACACCAGAGGCAGACTATAACCTTGACCTGACCTTGCAGGCTGACAGCAAGCTTTTCCAAGCTCCAAGTGTGGCTCCCCAGCAGGCCTTGGAGGAGGGACAGAAATGCCCAGTAGTGCCAAGTGCATCCTGACAGATACAGCTGACAAAACAGCAGGCTTTCCCATGAGGCCAGAGTCCCAAGGCGTGCGGGGAGGGCCCCCTTGAGAATGCACCCGCTAGGTTAGGTGATGTGTGCAAGCAAGAAAGAAATATGAGCCCTAGCTGGTTTGGCTCAGTGGATAGAGCGTCAGCCTGTGGACTGAAGGGCCTGGGTTCGATTCCGATCAAGGGCATATGCCCGGGTTGTGGGCTCGATCCACATTAGGGGGCGTGCAGGAGGCAGCCAATCAGTGATTCTCTCTCATCATTGATGTTTCTATCTCTCTCCCTCTCCCTTCCTCTCTGAAATAAATAAAAAATATTTTAAAAGAAAGAAAGACGAAGGCCTAAGCTTGGAGGCTCTTTCTGGGCAGTGATGAGAAAGCTGACACAGGAGAGTGGTCTCTGACCCTTCAGACACACGGAAGACCAGGACAGAGAGAATGCGAGGAGGTGAGTATGTGATTTAAAATGTAGGGGAGCTCAGACTAGGAGGGCAAGGCAGGGTGACGTTCTTCTAGATGGTAGGATAGAAAAGAGGAAGCTTCAAGACAGACCCTGAAGCCACAGGTAAAGAGACCATCATTCTGAAAAATAACCAGTTAAGATAGGTTTTCCTAAAGTATACATAGCTAAGTCTTCTGTTAGCTTCTCGGACAGATTGTATGTTGACTTTCACTCTTGGATAAAATCTTTTCTTTTTTTTTAATATGTGTCTGCTGGCCACTGTGCAGTTTGCCTATCTCCTCAAAAACAAAATATTTGTCAAAGGGGCAATCAGCAGGCATGCTGAAAACTGACCATTCGTAAGTAAACTCCGAACGTGAGTGCTATGACCCCAGAAACAGACTTTAGATTTGGCGGAATGAAAAGCATAAACCCTTCAGAGCAAAACATGACGGGTACCCGGCTACTGGTGGGCACAGTTTTCTTCCCAGATCAGACGAGATTGGGTGTGTTCAGGGTGGTATGGCTGTAGACTATAGTTTTCTTATCTAAATGACAAGTAATATTATGTGTGGGTCTCAACAATAAAGAATTTTTTTAAAATATATTATCTGTGGGTCCTTCTCCAAGAAGGACTGCTCAATTCCATTCATGTCAAATCTGGGCCGGGAAGAACTGCCCCCGTCTGATTTTCTCATCAGTGGACAAGAGATTCCTGGTTCAACATGTGCTGCACCCCTCCTCATTTCGAGAAGATGCACCCTCAAGAATTCTTTAAAAATCAGAATCAAATACTTATGAGCAAAAGCTCAAAATTGGTAGCTTTGAGGATTACTCTGAATGCTATGTTTTCACAGTAACCACAATCAAATCACATTTGCAATTTAACTTTTGTCTGAAAGTTCTCAGGCAGAGAAAGCAAGAAGCCACTCCTTTTATCCTACCACAATTCTCTAGATCCGTATTCTCAAGTTCCATTGGAGAAGTTAGAGTTGGACAGAAAATGCGAGTAAGAAAACAACTGCCTGGACACCCGCACCCCCACTCCCTTCTGTGGCAGATCAAGCCACTGCTCAGTTCAGCAACTTCTAAAAGAAAAAAGGCAAACGACACAGACTCATTTTCCCGTGGTAAAGGTTCCCGAGTGTGAAGGTTATTGTAAGCTGTCTTACTGATCATGGTGGTCCCACCAGCCAGAGCTGCCTTGGTGCCTTGAAAGAAGTCATCAGCAGAAGTCATTCCCTGGTCAGGCATCTGGAAGCGGGTATGGACGTCGATCCCTCCGGGAATCACCATCCTGGAATGGGCCTCGATGGTCTTGACCCCTCCTGGCACAATCAGGTTTTCTCCTATTTGCCTACATTAATAGGGTGGTGACAATGGTGGTAAATGAAATGTCCTTGAATCCAATGAAATCTGACAGACATTTTCACCAAGCCCCACCCTATCCTTCCCGTGTTCACTAGACTTTTCCAGTTACTGTAATTATTCATAATATATGTGCACTCCCCACTCCCTACCACCAACTAAGAAGCAATGCAGCGCTTACTAGAAAACAAAAGTTAAATAAGGCACCAGAGGCCTAATCAAAGAGTCTTAGTTACCAGAAAACCCCTAAAATCAAATGATAACAAGTCCCCAAGGAATTTACATAAAATGACACTGCACTTTTTCGATAAACACACAGTTGAGCTAATTATCTTATAGCAATTTCCTCCAGATCTGTTGGCACTTTACAAACATGTATTTTCACCAAATCCTTAGAGAAAATAGGGGAGAAGCAAAAAATAAATAAATAAATAAGTGAACACTATGATTAAAACAATTTGAAAATGTGGAAGCATGTCATTAGCAACTCAGATAAGGCAGAAAAATTAATATTCATTATGTTGAAGGATATGAATTCATTTCTAATGTTTAAAAAAATATCTCTGCTTCATCTTTCTAACAGTTTTTTTTAAAGGAAAAAAGTAATCAAGGAGAAGTTGATAAAGTTCAAAATCAAATTAGTGATGACTAAAAATAGCCCCCAGGCTTGCTCACTTCTAGGCCAGTGTCTTTCTGCTAGATTCTAACTGGGGGAATGGGACAGGCAAGTCATGGTATGTGAGAGCCTGGAGCAGAGACTGTCATAAGCAAACACACATGGAGAAAACATTAAATGTGGCAATGGTCGGACCTATTTTAGGTCATAAATCAGGGTTTGAGTTTCTAGGCAACAGATACATCCACTCCAGTTTTCCACTCCTCAGCAACGGTTTGCCGTAGCACTTGATGAATGCTGCTTATTCAAAAGATGTCATTTGCAGCAATGTTTGTCTTTAAACAGATGTGCTATTTCTCTGGAGCCTTATGAGCTGTCCCAGTCGGAAGGGCACAAGGATACTGGTATGTACTCAGCTCACTTAACCCTCTAGAATCCAAAAATACCCTGATGCAATAACTGCTCTGTTGTTAGAAACACAATACACAAGCAACACAAGGGCAGTCTTACTGGTGTTTGTTGGCACTTAAAGAATGAAACCTAAAATTCCCTTGGGATGAGGCAGTAATTTGTCTATGTTACTTAATTTGTTTTCCTTTGGCCCAACCACTGGATTCTTGATTCAGAAAGCAGATGTGCTATCTTGATAGAAAAGGGTATACTCACATTTGTGTCCTTCCATTGGGCAAGACATGCAAACAACTACATTCTAGGAAAACCTTTAATATATGCAATAGATCCTAAACCAAGTATTTGAGCTGGCAACAAGAAGAAATTGTGTCACCTGGGTTAAAAATAGCAAGTTACATAATGCGTTAGGAAATGGGTATGCATTTAATTGTAGCTTTGAATTCCCTAAATCTGAGTTTTCAAATTCACTAATTACTACCAATCAAAATGGGCTTAAATAGATACTAAGTCACTCTTTGAAGTCACTAAAGCTTGATATTATGTGTGTGAATTGTAGGTGATGCTTGGGAATACTGGAAGGTACACGAATTCTTCTATATGAGTAACACTTACTTGATCAACCCATCTTCCATGTATATGTCTGCATAGAATGACTGGTCATCATTAACGATTTTACCTCCTTTGATCAGAAGACGATCGCTCTGAAACAAAGACATACTAAGGTCACCATGTGTACCTGGCCCATGAGGAACATTGGTTCTAAAATAAGTGAGCTAAGGACACATTTCACTATTCAAAGTGATGCTCAGCCCAGCCGGCATGGCTCATGTGGAGCATCAACCTGTGAATTAGGAGGTCACAGTGTGATTCCCAGTCAGGGCACATGCCCGGGATGTGGGCTGGGTTTCCAGTGGGGGCATGCAGGAGGCAACCGATCAATGATTTTCTCATCATTGATGTTTCAATATCTCTCTCCCTCTCTCTTCCTTTCTGAAATCAATAAAAATATATTTAATGCTCAAAATGAGCCAATTTTGAAAAGGTTCAGTGACAATGGTGAACCTGTATGTAGGAACCTATTTGACACATGATGAGTAGAAATATGCTGGTAAAGCTCAAAGCTTATCATAGATTTAAAAACAAATAAAAAACCTTCTTTCCAGAAGACAATACTTTTTAATGGCTTTAAGCTAAACTTCATTTAAAAAATAAAATAACCACCCCACATGTAAGAAGTCAATTCTTGGCAAGCTTTGTGTGGGGAAAAATTAACCAAAAGTCTGTTGTCATGGCAAACTCGACACAAACACACTAGGTTCCACCATAACAAGGTTTCAATTCAGCCTGTTCATTATATTTGCATTTCATTTTGAGGTAAATCACAGCAATTGTAGCAAAGAGAGAAAAAAACCTCTTCAATTATACACCATTTTAACTATTAAACTGTTAAGGAAAAGGTAAAGTTTTATGATAAAGTAGATGAGAGGGCAAGTTCTAAATCTAACACCACTATAAACTGTCAATTCACTTATAATATAATTAGTGTAAAAAATACATATGACAAGCAGCACATGAAGGCCAAGAATATAATGAAAATGTTACTTTATGACTCATCTCTATTCCAAAGGCTTTGATGGAATGGAACGTTAAAATCAGTGGATATACACCTGTGCTATTCCACACTGGGTTGAAATGTTACAAGTTAAAGCATAGATTGCCCTCTTAACATGCAAAATATTTCAAAGGAATGGCATTCATCTTGACAATCGTTAACTCTAAGTTGTTACAAAACAACATTCTCAGCAAGTGCTATTTATGCTTAGCACCTGCCAAAGAAAATATTATAGCAAATGTGTAGTGAAGAACACATAAACTATGAGACCCAGAAAGATCCTTTTACACAAAAATGTACACATGGGTTTACAAAGTATTTATTGTTTCTCTAACATACTGAAAAACAGATCATTAAATTTTGTACACTTCAGTCTGCTGTAGACTTTGGAAAGTCATATGGGACTAAATAATCAACAACAATTCCTACACTTGTATAAGTTAAATGTAAGAACCTTCACAAAATCCAGTGAGGTGGATGGAGTAGATTCTTAACCCATGACACATAAAGAAACTGAGGCACAGAGAGATTAAGTCACTTGCCCAAGGTCACCTGATCCCGTACACTTTCCTCTGGCTACTCAGAACTCCCCCGCAGGATCCCACTTTGACAGGATAAATATTGCCTGGGAGCAAAGAGAAGCCCTGCCCTTCACCACCTGCTCCCTCATTCGCTGCGGTACCTGTCCCAGCCATCACTGTGAATCCCGGAGCCGAGAGAGAGAGAGAGAGAGAGAGAGAGAGAGAGAGAGAGAGAGCAGCCCTGTTCACTCTGTGCCTTCCAGAAGGCTTCTTACATAAGAGGCAGCTGTGATGATGGAAGGAGGGAGACCATGCTATGTAGGTCCTCCATAGTGCACCCAGATTTTAAGGGTAGAGGGGGCGCTCTTTTAAAAGTCAGTCTTGTTTGCTTTTTAATTTTTTTCCTCCCCACACTGTCAAAACGAAACTGCCTTTTTCATTCAGGAAGACAGCGATTTATTTGAGACTTGCAGCCAATGTGCTCTCCACCCCCACTCTCCAGACTTCTTCCTCCTAACGGAGAACATCGAACGTCGGGTCCCCCTCGCCCGGCCCTTTGGGATCCTGGGTCTCTGGCCTTTTAGAAAAAGCTACTACCCACCCTCGCCCTTGAGCAGCCTTGCTCACCCTATAAAATCCTCTCCAGCACACACCCCGCCCGAGCTTTGGTCTCCACATCTCTCTCCTGCGGATGGGTGTGTCCTTGTGCATCCACGGGAGGCCGGGGTGCCCGTGGCTAAGGAGGGGACCAGAGGCAAGCGCGCCCTCAGATCCAGCCCCGAACACATCTACACTTTTCAAGGATTCTCTCGGTCTCTGCCTCGGCCCTGGGTTCTACCCAGCAATCGGTTGGCCAATTGCAATTGCACATCATTATATAACAATGAATACCCCTCGCGTTCCAGCCGCCCTCCCCAGCGTTTCATTGGGGATGTGGATAGAGAACTAAGACTAGCGAAATTTTTTCCAGGAAAAGCTGGGGAGAGGACGGGCGCGGTGGGAGTCAGAACCTGCGTTCATCGCTGAAGCATCGCCAGTTCATCGCGTAGATGTTTTTCTCGTGATTTACAAACTAAGCACCCCAAGCCCCACAAGTGCGCCAACACCTCCGGCCAACGGGACCATTGTCTGCCGAGGCCCGGCCGGGCCATCTGCTCCGCGCGTCGCGCAGCGCCATTACCTCCCGAGCCGGGCTCGGCGCTGTCCCCGGCGCCCACCCTCCCAGCCCGCTTTGTATGCGCCAGCACGGACGCCTCCCGGCTGCAGAAGGGACAGAGGCAGAAGAAAGCCAGCCCCGAACCAGAGGGCGAGAAAGCCAAGAGGGCCACCAACACCGGCCCCTGGTCAACAAAAAGCCCACTCCTGGCCCCCACCCTTCTCTGTTCATCACCGCGTCCCTTTTTTCCTTCCCGTTTCCACATCAGCCTGGTGCACCCTGCCCTTGCAGCATCCCTCTGCTGTCAGTCCGCCGCCAGGCTGAAACCTGCCCCTTTTTCTCGGGAGCCGGAGGAAGGCTCCAGAAAGCCCTTTATGGCGGGGGCGGGAGGCACAGGGAGCTCCATCCACTTCCCATTCCCCCGTCCAGCTCCTAGAGCCCAGCTCGCAGCACGCAGCCGGAGAACAATATCCGCGCTCCAACCACGCATATTCAATCTGGCATCCATTTGCTTGCACCCCCAGGCCGGCACTGCAGCATCTCGCTCTGACAATAAAAGGATACAGCGGCTCTGGCGCGCTACCCAGGACGACCTCAATGCACTCACGCTATTTTAATGTCTTACAAATCATGTGGCTCATAATTCTATGATTGCGTCTCCTGCCACCACGATCGCCTTCTTTAGTAACGGGGGCGGGGGGGGGGGCAGTTAGGTCCCTCTTCCTCCCCCTCCTTAAAAAAAATTCCTTAGATGTTCTGTGCCACAAAGGTTACTGGCCGACCACAATCTCCCAAGTGCCAAACTCACCGTGATGCGTGGAATATTTTTCTTCCCCTGATAAGACATCTCTCTCCTGGGAAAAAAATAATTTCAAGAGGGCAGCTTTAAAGCAAAAAAATGCCAAAAAAAGAGAGTTGGTATTTTATTTTTTTCAGGATTGAAAAAGGTGCAACAGCTTAGCTAGTCTTGCTGATAACAAATTCCAGGAACGTAAGAGATCAACGCAATCCTCTGTCTCTCTTTCTTCCTCTCCTCCAACACAGCCCCAGCGAGGGCGGAAAAAAAAAGAAAGAGAGGGAGAGAACAGGAGGGAAGGGGGTGGAAATAAACTACAGCAATAAAAGCCTCGGTTCGAGTCGGCCACCCGGCGCATGCGCCGCCAGCCACTCCCTTTCCTCTCAGGCAAAAGCCATCCGCTTCGGGAGAGACGAGCCCTGATTGGCCACAATCGCGGGACATGCAAATGCCCGGGCGGGAGGGGAGCGGCGCGAGAGCGCGAAATGCTGCAGAGAGCGGCGGAGGGCGGCGGCCGCCCGGGGGTCGCGCCTTTCGCGCCCTTTCTTCGGGCCAGCGCCCCGGGGATAGTGGCTGCGGGAGCCCCAAATGCAGCAGCAGCAGCAACGCAGGGAAAATGGCGGGTGCTCCTTAGGAACAGGGGGAGCCCAGCCCGGAGTCGGTGGGCTGCCTTGGAGCCCGAGCGGCACGCACCCGTCCGCGCGCGCCCCGGTGGATGCCGCCCGCGCGCCAATCCGCGGAGGCCGCCGCTGCGGCCCCGCGTGGGGTGACTGCGCCGAGCCAATGGCTTCGCTGGCGGCGAGCGCGCGACTGCACCACCGGCCGGCGCCGCGCCGCCCGGGAGGGGCGCCCGAGCTCTCCTCCCGCCGCCCTCGCCTTTCGCGAAGCTCGTCCTGCCTCCGCCCAGGAGCGACGGGGGAATTGACATGGCAGCGAGCGGAGCGAAGGGAGAGGGCTCGCCGCGGCGCCGCCCGGCCCCGCAGAGGGGCGGCTGGACCGGGGCCTGCGGGCGGGGCGGGGCGGCGCGGCGTCCGCAGGGCTCCCCGGGGCGAGGAGGGGTGCGGGCCGGAGGCGAGGCTGGAAACCTAGCCGAGGGCGAGCGCCGGGCTGCGGGCCCCCGTGGCCTGGCAGCTGGGAAGTCGGGAGCAGGGAAGGGGCGGCTGGAGAGGCCGCAGTCCGCCGCCGGGGATGCAAACCCCGCCCTGATGGCCCTTGTGCCTTCGAACCGCGAGGAACTTGGGGGCAGAGGGCTCAGCAGCTGCCTGTTTAGGCAAAATTGGCTCAGTCCGGGGCCCTGTTCTCTAACAGTCACGCCCACCGAGGCCCATCTGTTGGTCGCATTTCTCTGGTGCCTGCAGATCTGTTGAGAAAAAGCTGTCGGAACTACAGCGCCAAGGAGCCCCCCCAAATTTTCAGTGCTATAGACAGGCCTCCACACACCTAATGAGGCAGAAAGCGATGAGGAGAGAGAAGCAGCAGAAGGGATGAATGAAATGAAAGCTTATGTCCCAAAAGAAGGGAAAACTGAGTCATGGAGAAAGGCTCCTGGAATCCGAGTTAAAAACACTCCCCAGCCAGAGACGCTAGTCACTCACAAGGCGCTGGAGGCACCTGGACAGGTGCGGCCTGAGTCGCTGCGGAAGAAAAAGCTGGTCCCGGGCAACATACCTGGGCTCCTCTTTGGAAGGTTGCCGGGCAGGTGCAAGGGCTCAAACCAGAGGCAGCCATGGCTTTGGATTTCTCTGCTTGAGATCAAACAATAGCTGGGCCTGCATAATCTAGGCCGTCCAGCAGCCATTAGAAAAGGCATCTATTTAACTGGCTCACACCTGCTCAGCGAAGATTAGCCAGATAAATACAGAATAATCCTGGGGCTACTGTGGGCCCTGTTCTGATGTCTTTCTGCATCTGGCCACTTTGGATTGTTATCTGTTCACAAAGTGTGAAATGCACCCACTCACTCATCCTGTAAATTCTAAAGTCCCAGAAAAGGGGGGTGAGGCGTGCAGGAAGCTCCCCAACTGGTTAATTCATTCAGGTTCCAATTAGCTGTGCATCTTGAAAATAAAATAGAAGCACTTCCTTCTCCAACCATGGGCTGTGCTAAGAGAAAAGTGAGTTGATATCAGCAAATATGGGTGTCAGCCTGCAGGGGTTCAAACCACGAGTCTGAGAACGCATGAAGTGGCCCTCCGACCTGTGAAAGCCAACAGTGCGTTGCAGCTGGGGGGTGTAGAGTGGCAGGGCGCCAGGTGGCATTAAATCACACGAAAATGCCACTTGGCAAGCAAGTAAATAATGAGATTCAAATTAATTTAAAACCAAATAATCTCTAATTATATTGTTTGTTTATATTCTTTTATATTTTCCTGCTCCTGAATTGTTTGATCTTAACAGATTTAACTATATCTAGTTGATTGCCAATTTTCCATTGAATATTTTGCTTTGCAATAAAAGCTCCTAAGAGCTTTTGTATCACTTATTTTTATAGCCATTGGCATGAGGTTCTTAGTCCATAATTGACATTTCCACTCATAAATATCCAAAGATGTAAGGCTTAAACTGATTGATCTGTTCTAAGATAGAGCCTAAGAGTATATGGCACATAGGAGACAGCAGATAATTTTAATTGACCAAGGAAAAGAACTGCCTGCAACCTGCATTTCTTACCATACTTACCGCTCCATGCAACGCAGAAAAGTAGGGGTGGGGGAAGAATTTTCCGCCTACTCTACACTGAAAACTTGTTCCTATACACTTTTTATACTGTCTTTAAACAAACATTCCATGAAAAATTTCTGTAAAGTTTCAGATCATTGTCCCTCTACCAAATATTTGAGCCTGTTCTTGGGTATGATTTTTCCAAATTTTTAAAAAATTAAATGCATGTCAAACCTGAAAAGGCGTTGTAAGATGGCCTATTCCACATTATGACCCCTTCCCAAAGCCCCTGCCTTCCCATACGCCTCCCCCAGCACCTACAACGAGCAAGATGTGATGACGAAATGACAGAGCCATTTAATGGAATGGTTCTTCCCCTGGCATTTTGGTGGTCTGGGCCCCAGACTCTGGGGGAAGGAGAACCTGCCTAAACAGATCCATGAGCAGGAGTGAGGTCTACCCAGGTGCTGTATCAGACTCTGACCTCTGCAGCTGCATCTCCCATCCCTGACACCCATGCCCTCATCCCATGCTCAGGGTGCATGCAGAGGTGCGCCCACACACACACTGCCCTTTCCCAAATCTGTGCCCTGTCCTGTGCTGTTCCCTTCACCTCCCTCCCTTACCCTCAACACTTCCTCTAAAAATGAGCTTAAATATCATCTCCACAATAAAGTCTGCCCTCATCCTGTCTCCTAAAGTCTTAAGCACAACCTCCTATATTCACCTCAACTGTAACATACATCCTGCTATATTGTAATTATCTGTCCATTTCTTCTATTAGAGTATGACTCCTAGGAGCGAAAAGCTTTGCATTCCTCTTTTCCCAGGAACCTGGTCCATGGTGGGGCCCTCAACATTGGGTGCATAAATAAATTCTGCCATTGCTATGACAAGAAAAGAAGATTCTTCCATGTCACCATCACAGGGAGCTGTGACATCAACAATATCTCCAACTCAGGCATTGCTCTGAGCACTGTGGCCTTGCTGGGTCTTCCTTCTTGGCAGCCCAGCTCCTCTCCTGCAAGTCCCTAAAAGTGCAAGAGAACCTTGTTATCATGCAGCTTATTATTCTTTTCATGGGTGTAGCTGCCTGGATTTTAAGCTACACCTTCCCTAAACAAACTGCCACGCACCATCAAACCTAGGGAGAGAGCATCCAGTCCTAAAATGAACTCCAGAATCGTACGAGGCATCTCCAGTCACTTCTTCTCAGCACCAACTTCTTAAAGCCTTCTCTCTCCACCCTCCCAATATTCTTTGTGCATACCTATATTATACCATTTATCGTATTATACCACCTACCCTATAATATGATGGTATTCTTCACCTATAGTATAGGTCAGTGATGGCGAACCTTTTGAGCTCGGCGTGTCAGCATTTTGAAAAACCCTAACTTAAGTCTGGTGCCGTGTCACATATAGAAATTTTTTGATATTTGCAACCATAGTAAAACAAAGACTTATATTTTTTATATTTATTTTATATATTTAAATGCCATTTAACAAAGAAAAACCAACCAAAAAAATGAGTTCGCGTGTCACCTCTGACATGCGTGTCATAGATTCGCCATCACTGGTATAGGTGGTCGGCAAACTGCGGCTCGCCGGCCACATGTGGCTCTTTGACCCCTTGAGTGTGGCTCTTCCACAAAATACCACGTGCGGGCGCGCGTACAGTGCGATTGAAACTTCGTGGCCCATGCGCAGAAGTCGGTTTTTGGCCTGGGCGAGTCTATTTTGAAGAAGTACTGTTGATATTTGGCTCTGTTGACTAATGAGTTTGCCGACCACTGGCTTGTAAGTTAGCAGAAATTGCCAAGTGGTTGCTTTGTGCAGGGCATGGAACTGTGTGCCCTGCTTTTGATGTGGTATTTTAGATGAAGCTCAATGTGTTGTATTTCTAAAATAATAAATGTGAAGTATCTTTTTTTTTAAAATATATTTCATTGATTTTCTACAGAGAGGAAGGAAGAGAGATAGAGAATTAGAAACATCGACGAGAGAGAAACATCGACCAGCTGCCTCCTGCACATCTCCTACTGGGGATGTGCCCACAATCCAGGCACATGCCCCCCACTGGAATCGAACCTGGGACCTTTCAGTCCACAGGCCGACGCTCCATCCACTGAGCCTAACCGGCTTGGGCAAATGTGAAGTATCTTAAAAAATAAAAAGATATTTAGCCTAAAAAAAAAAAATCCCAGTCCTATACCATCACTAACTGAGCATGACTTGCCTTCCATTTAAATTTGGAGCTCACAGAGACTGGGCACTCTTTCAAAAGCCTTACTTGTGTCTTACCCTCATATAGGGCCCAATGGGGTGAGCGTTCAGGAAGGATGGGATGCATGGATGGGTGTCCAAGGGGTGACCTCCAGTCAGTATTAAGATGTTTGCGTCATACATCCTGGGGGAGCGGGAGCTGGGGTGGGAGATGGAGGGCTGTCACTCAGGCGCCACTGGGTGACTGGCTGCTTTCAGTTCCTCAGCACCCTGCACAGTACGTGTCCCGCCTGGGACCAGGCCCGCCACTGTCCCTGGTTTCATCTTCCCCCTTTGGGAAGCAGGAGTAACCATTTCTGCTTCTGTGGCCCCACCTGGGCCTCTGCAGAAGTGTAACATTCAGGATGTCATAGAGCAGAGAAACTCCAAAACAGACATTGCTGACAAAGAATGGAGCCTAGATGTGGCCAGGAGAAGCCCTGAGCCCCGCATTGCTCAGCACTGACGCCAAGGGCTGTGGCTCACATGCAGCCTGCAGAGAAGTTAACATTCACGCGGTGGCAAAGAGAAGGTACTGGAATGCTTTGCCAGAAA